ACATTCATTCCATCATACATCGTCTCATTGCCATAGTTACCATCCCGTCCATGCATCATCGTCCAACCAAAGGGTATACCCTCCCTTCACGGTCCTCAGCACACAGCCACTCTCCCTCTCTGGATCCCTAGTCCCCAGCCACTCCATCTCTTCGCGTCATCCTCTCTCTTCACGTCATCCTCTGTGTCTCAGTTTCTGTCTTCACTGCTCCTCTGGGTGGCGTCCCACTCTCCGCTCTTCTCCATTGATGGTCCCAGGGCCCTGCGATCCTAGACTGAAAGGTTAATCACTCCCCTCCTTGCTATAAAATGTCCACCTTTACATTTCCAGTCCTCACAATCAGTCCTGGTGACAATCATTCACCCTTGCATCCCAAGGGACCCATCCGGATTTCTTTTCATCTGCCCCTCCCCAACAGGTCGGACACTACTCACTGGAGACTCCACCATCCTCCCCGCCCTGTGGATCTAAGTTCCCTCTTGAAAGCTTGTAAGCCAGTCACTTCTTACCTTTGTATCCCTTCTCCCATTTTTGGTTAGTCAATGTTCAAGTTGCCCATCCCTATCTACTCTTTGTGCGGAGGGGGTGGGAATAATTCTTGGAGCAGGGATTTGTTTCCTTTTATGAGCTACTGCATTTATACATGGCTGTCCAGTTTATCAGAGTGTATCAGATGACACTTTTCTTCTTCTTTCTTCTTCGGTTGGAGCCATGGCAAGTGGGTATCATGTGCAGGTGTGGGTGTTCCTGCGTCTGTCTGCCATCTAATTATCAGTTGGTCTCTTCAGTCTCCTCTCTAGTCCTCTGTGGATGTGTCAATGACTCTGAGCCCATGAGTCCCCAGGTCTTGCCTCACTGCTGGCCGACCAGGTTTCTACCTGGGCTTACCATAGTCTGCTAAACGATGCAGGGCTTAGCTCGCTGCTTCTTTGATGTTCTTCGGTCACTTCTCTTTATGGGTGACGTGTGTGGTCGCCAATCAGAACGCGTTTTCCCATTGTGTCTTAGTCTTGGAGGAGGATTTGCACTGAGAGGACCCGATCACTTGCCTTGATATCTCCTGGGCAGACAGCTTGCCTGTTCTTGTGGTAACAGTCGGACTGCCCTTGTTGTTTTGTATTTTTCCTGTAGGTCCTTCTTTCAAGAAGTGTCTTCTAGTTTTTTAGCTGCTCCAGTATGGGCTGCTTGTCCTTTCAAGAGGAAAGTTTCCCTTCTCTGATGGTCTGGATGTGGTTCAGGCTTCCTTCTATCATTTTATGTAATGCAGAGGCTCCTCATGAGACCTCCTTCACTAGATACATTATAGCCCCATTTTAGGTATTCAAATTAGTTATAGGCAGAAGACTGACTTACAAGCTTTCTACGGTGATATTTCTGGTTATTCCTTTCACTCTCCCTTCAGTGACTGTTTTATATTATAATGCATGGAAAACCAAGGTTCAAAAGTCAGCCAAGTATCTCAACATTATTCCCCACTTTTCCCCATTCCAACCCTGTCCCAGTCTCTGGATCCCAGAGCCCTGTTGTCCAAGGCTGTGCCTACATCCATTTTTACTTCTGTCCCATTTAGCTCATTCGTACCTGCCTCATTGTTCTCCCGTCTGCCTTGTTCTTCCATTCCCCTCTCCCTACTTATATATTGCCCTCCTCCCCAATACCCAAATTATCCTATGTCTATTCCCTGCCCTGTGCTCTGCCCCCCCCGCCCCCCGAGCTTATTCCTACCCCTACGTCCTAGCGAGCTGCTAGGAATCCACTTTAGTGGATTAGTATGGGTTCTTTTTCTTAGTCTTTTACAGTAGTGGTCCTATGCAGTATTT